GTGCAAACCGCTTGGGTTATCAGGAGTAATATCATTATCGTTTATCGAATCCGTGTAGAAAAATCAAACTGATGTGACCGGCCTCATACGTATATATGTCGTACGACCTTTGTACGACTGTTGTAAGATCGCAAACTGAGGCCAGTCTCGGGATTTGATTTGATTTATTAAATTGTATAAACAAATATACAGCCTGAGGCCATTTTAGGGATAGCCGTGAATTTATCGTACATAATTCAGCAGTCATATTCGGAGTAAGCTGTTATGCCCAAGACTTGCTTAAAACTCTACTGCTTGGGCAGATCGCCGAGGTTAATTGTTTTTCTTATTGAACACGATCTTCCTTAGCTTCAGGGCTGAGCTTGGATGAAAAGGTCATAGGTGGAGGCCTTGCATTGACTTTTCTCACCATAAGCCCTTTGGTTGAAACTTTGGCGGCTAACCAAGTCCATTGCAACCGCGTACATAGGGTCATTCTCCGTTCATTGGCCCACGCGATTCGATATTCAACATATTCAAGATTTTGCTTCTTGTATCGTGGCGATACTATATATAGTGGTTAGGCTGGTAGGCACAGGTCGATAGTGTCACCGGTTCGATTCCTCCTCGGCCAGACGTTGTGTCCTTTTGCATTGGCATTGGCACTTCACACGACTTTCCTCACGGTTGGTGTGGTGGAGTGGGGGCGTTGGAACGAGAGAGGTGGGCTCCACCTTCCAATACTTTGCCCTAGACACCGTGGATCAACAACTCACTATCTCACAAGGTCTAGGGAACCTTTTCCATCTCTATTTTATTGCTTATATAAAGATTGTAGATGAAAGACGATTCAATATTTGCCGACAGAGGCTTGCAACGTTTATGAAATCCATATTTAAGAGTCCCATTTCAAGAATTAACATTTACTGTTACCCTTCACTGCTGATCATTACCGACGTGCGCCATCGCCAGAGAGTTAGATATTATCTTCAAGAAAAATCTACTTACTCCTACATCTCTTTCAATCTACCGTATGTGATAGCGGCTCGACACTCTTAATGAGTCTCACCAGCCAAGTTGCAAAGCTACGCCGTCTCTTACAATCAAGGCACACTCGTATATCTCTTAATCTCTTTTAGGTGGCAAGGTAGTCTTATGGTTAGGGTTGTTGACTCAGAACCTGGATTAGAATCCCTGGTAAACCCCATTTGTCGTGCACCTGGGAAAAGCACTTAACACCTATTTACTCACTTCAGGTGTTAATGAGTACGAAACTTCAGCTAGTGACGTCCTCTCGGATGGGACGTTATGAATGAGAAATATAATGACATAGATTCTTTATTTGCAAAATCATGCCCGACGGCAACTGCTTGTACAGACTCGTTTATTTGCAAAATCATGCCCGATGGCAACTGTTTTTACAGAGCTCGAGTCAAAGATAGCACAATATAATAGGAAATAGACAACTACTGCCTGGAAAAACTTATACTTTTACTTCAACGCTTGCTATTATGAGGTTTGTCTTCTTCTTTAAAGGCAGTGGATATATAATGAATAGCCCCACGTTCTACATAATGAGTGGGTTTTGTGATCTACAGACCAGAGTTGGTGATTCACTTCAAATCACCAGTGTATTAGCAGATTCATCAGCAAGTTGATGTTGGCTACCTTAATCCCAAAAGACAAAAAAAAAAGACAAAGCAGCCTAGAGAGAATGTACACCAGGCTATCCTTTAATTAATATGTCTACTGTCTTGCAGCTCCACATGATGGATATCTCTGCCACTTAAATCGTGTGTTTCCAGACAGGGTCATTCCTCAAGTAAGCCGCCTCACGGATGATGAATGTACTTATGGTTTCAATAAGAGACGTTTATGGAGATGAATCTATTTGGTGCGTGTCTCGGTTTGATATGATAATGCAATTTATGAACATAATGACTCCTCGTAAAAGTTTGTAGATTAGCTTTGTATAGACCACAATGAGGAAAAGGGAACGTTTGATTTATATCATTCAGGATGGTGTCCCGTTCCCCCCTTCGCATCAGTGGCGGAATTAACCGGTACCGGAATGCCTTTTAAATGAATATTCTACTTATATTCCTAGACATTTGAAGTGCATTCTAGAGATTATCACTACATTCCAAATATGTGGTGCCCAGTGAAAAAATATAGAAGGTCATTAAGACTGATTTAACTGCAATATGACCGCATTCTGAATATAGAGCATTCAAACAGCGAGTAAAACATTCTGCTTGCATGCGCATTCAAGGGATATCCAAAATGGGTCTAAATATTTGAAGTGCTCCCCCCAAACACTTCGAAAAGCCAGGAGTACAGAACTTTTCATTCAGAAAGCATTCCCTGCACCCACTCCGAGGATAATACCATGACTTCCGAATGTGTGGTGGAGTTTCCAATCCTTCATTCCACCTGCATCTGCTTGACTCAAGCCAGTGCGGAGTAAGGCCACACTGACTTAATTTTATGGATGACATCCTCTGAAGACCCCCAAACTAGTGCGCGCGGGCGAATAAAATGAAATTCCGGCCAAAAATAAAAATGCTACAAAACCATGGGAATACAAAGCTGGTATTGTGAATTTGCGGCAGTACTTAGCGACGTGTATGACAAGCCGTCACATGCTGGCTTTTGGCGGAATTTATGAATCTGCACAATACGTATGTACTGAGTTCTTGAGTACTAGTCGTGGAGCTTCGGTAGCCTGGGTGCCCGGCTGCGTATTGTAGGTAACTACCGTGGACTACCCAGGCCTAGAGCCAGCGCCAAATGACTCGGAGGACGTGATTTTTCTTTTTTTTTTGAGAACAGGCGAAAATCAATGCGCGCGCGGATGTCATCCATAAAATTAAGTCGGTGTGGCCTAAGTGTGGATTGAGGCTAACTTCTAAGTCTACCCGGGTCCGCACCAGGGTTAAGGCGTGGCAAAGAGCCACAGAGATGGATGAAGAGACTCACCATTTAGGCAGCAGAGGGAATGACTAATTTCTTTTCAACCTTTCCACAAAGCTGTGCAATTCGTTCACAGTTGGTAGAATGCCAAACCTTTTAACCTACGGCCGAATGGTTTTTGGACGGAGGTGGTTGCCAACTGCGCCCAGAAGCTTAAACCGCATCGTCCGTCTTGTGGCTTTTGTGCGCTGCTAAATTTCTCAAAGTACTTATTGAGCTTGGCGTGAGCACGGAACGGTGTGTAAGTTCTAATAACGCATATGCTGCATTCTCTATCGTGTCGTTTGGTGCACAGTATGATCCTTCCCAGCCGTGCGCCTGTAAAGTATCTAGTGTCCTCGTAACGATACACCTTATTACTTTCTCCCGTGTTCGCACATATAGATCCCAGCCACTGGAACCGTAATCTGTCGTCCCAGGTGTGACAACTATAATGTTCCGGGCATCCTAAAGGTCTACTTCTCTCCACAGACGTTCCCGTGTACTAAGAATAGTTCATTACACAGTCTTCAGGGCAGAAAAGTCGGACTAGACACGGCGTATGATGAATGATGTCTCCAGTGACACCTGCGGAAAGCCCCGCACAGTCACGAACCTTCCCTTTGAAGCATATTAGCGGCGGCAGTTGAGTGTTAAAAAGCCGGAGTGAATCAATGTAAAAAAACAGGCCTAAAATAAGGTAGGGAAGTTCCCGAGCAGCCTTCGTAATCCCTGCTTCGCCTATTGAGCCAGTTAGTCAATTTTGCCTAACTTAAAGCTTGATGCTTCTGAATTCGAAGATATGCTGATGCAGTGAGCGTTAGCTCAGTGCTTAGAAGTGCATGTGGCCTTGCAGGCTAGAAGAGACAGAGATAACGTACCGATCTTTTACCTCTCAGAGGGCCGGTAACACTTTTACGGAGTAACCACGGAGTAACATAGGCAATGCGACTCGAAGTCACTGACACTACATGAATATCCTGTCGTGGGTACCATCCGTACTTCAACGGGGCTCCTCATGCGCTCGGGTGCAAAAAAGGATGCCTCCTAAGCTACTACATAAAAGCACATCATCCTACACTACAGTATTCACCTCACTCCACCTCTATGTAAATAGACTATCACACCCCGTCCCAGAGCTTCAGTCTTGTGGATTGGGTTAAGGTCGGCGACAGCTCCGAAAATTATTCTCCACCTGGCGGAAAATTAGCTGCTAATTCATCATCACATCATTCGCGTAACGTGACATGTACCATATGTTACACCGCCTCAGCTCCCTTCAGGAGTGTCACCAACCACCCTGCAGAGATACCTGCCCCTTCTGTTAAAAGGCAATTTCCTGAAAATCTTTCTGATATTGACATTTACTGCCAACTCATGGCACATTTTCATTGTTTCATACTTGAAGCGTTTGAGATAGCCCAGGAACAAGCTACTTGAGGGTGCCTTTAGGCACCGTATACCGTACTGAGTTCTAAAGCTCTATAGGGCCTCGGTAGCCAGGGTGCCGTCCTTCGAAGTTACCGCCGGCTAGAAACAAGCTACTTGAGGGTGCCTTTAGGCACCGTACTGAGTTCTAAAGCTCTGTGGGGCCTCGGTAGCCAGGGTCCTTCAAAGTTACCGCCGGCTCCCTATTGTCGTTTACATAATATAGCAACAATGGATTACAGATGACGGCACTCTACCAATGGCCAAAGGCCAGAGCCTCGTCGGAGGTTTTTTTAGAACAGGCGAAAATCATTGCACGTCGCGTAGATGTCATCCATAAAATCAAATCAGTTGGCCTAACTTGCGGCTTGGCACCGAGGAACTGGCTTTGATCCGAGAAGATTAAAATCTACTTTCTCGATCCAAGGCATGGCAAATCATTTCTCCAAAACACTTAAGAAGATAGAAAACTTTTGTACTGATGAACTGGCCCCAATCCAAGGCACGGCAATCGGTTTTCCCCTTACACTGGAAAGAAAATAAAGATGCTCCATATGCTTCTGAATGGAGACAAGTGTAAGATTATGACTATTTGCTTTTTGAGGATTCCCCCTGCACCGCCGTCACTCAACATTTACGGTTCAGAACTTGAAAGTGTGGCAGTTGCATGTCTCCTGGGAGTCTGGCTCCAGGCTAACCTGAAGTGGGAAACAAACGTAACCAAGATGCTCAACAAAGCAAACGGCCGGCTGTTTCTATTAAGGAGACTGAAACACTTCAACCTCCCTGTGAATGACTTACTGCAGGTCTACAAGTCATACGTGAGACCTGTAGTAGAGTACTGTGCCCCTGTATGGCACCCAGGACTCACTAGTTACCAGTCAGCTCGCTTGGAGAGGATACAGAAGAGGGCACTGCGCACCATCCTGAGGGGTCAGTACGTGGACTACAACTCAGCCTTGCACACTACAGGCCTACAGTCACTCAGCAGCCGACGCACGGACTTATGCCGGAAATTTGCTTCTAAGATCAACCCTGACCTCCTCCCACCGAGAGGAAGCGAGGAGCATGGCAGGAACACTCGAAATGCTAACAAACTGAGAACTGTGAAGTGTAGGACAAATAGATACCAAAACTCTACCATACCATACCTAATCCGACTGTTAAACGAATGAATAGCAATATTATTTTCAACACAACCCTTCAGAGAACTTGAAGAAGGAAAAAATTGTGACTTATGTGATGAAAGAGTTAGGCCCGCATGTATGTCGTACTGTTCGCGAAAAATATCTATGTGTATTATATATCTATTATTTTAATCATCTTTTAATCATCTGTAACGGAGACATGAATGTTTAAGCCATGACAGAACTGATTTTAAATAGGTAAATTTAATTATCGTTTTTATATTACAACTGAATGACACTTTTAAAGTACTTGTAATGGAATCTGCAATTCAGCCAGAAGGCTGCGAGAGTTTCTTTTCTAATAAACCATTCATTCATAAACCATTCATTCAAAGATCTGATGGGACTGGTCATATATCACGTTGCTGTGTCCTCCCACGACCTCTCCAAGGAGTACTTAGTATAACATGGCACGATCTTTAAATTTCTTACTAAGGCCCGGAATAATACATATTGTCAATTTGGGCACAATCCTATGTGCAAGGTACAGGAACATGACTGATCTGCACATTCTTTTTTATTACTTTTCTCCTGACCCATTTGAATCTCAAGAGACGGGTTTAGAAGAGGCTATAACTCCAACCATAAAACGTGCATCTCGAAAGTTCAGCTCTCTTGTGAAGGTTTCTTAAATTCCCCGCAGGAAAAGTGGGATTTGTCAATTATGATTAATTCCAGGTAATGTTGTATCAACCGTTATTGGTAAATCTCATTTTTGTGGAGTAAGCCCTGCATAATACGATAATATGATGGACATTGTCATTGTCATTGTGTGCAACGGTGCTATGTGCAATGCATAACATGGCTGATCTGCACATACTTTTATTACTTTCCCCTCTTATTCGATCATTTGAATCTCAAGAGACATGTTTAGATAAGGCTATAGCAGCAACCACAAAACGTGTGTGTCGAAGGTTCAGCTCTCTCGGGAAGGTTTCTAAAATTCACTACAGGAAACGTTTGATTCACCAAAGATGATAAATACCAGGTAAGTTTGGTAACGATTGCTTCAGGCAATAAAAGTCACCAGCATAGATTAGCGGCTATGTATGAACCGCTATTGGTAAATCCCATTTTTTGTGGAGTAATCCCTGCACATTAAAGTGTTTTTTCTGTGTGGATTTTAGCTATTACGTGATTAAGTTTGAGTGGCGTGTCTTATAGTAGCTGCCTAAATAACACCCATATATGCCAGGTAAGTCTGATAATGCTTTTCTATGAATGCTATTCATTGAATGCCAAAGCAACCGTTACCGGATTTGCTGCTTGTGATTTATACAGTGTAAATTGCTTCTGAAAGTTTTTTTCCGGCAGTGGGAGCGAATTGGGTTTTCGGCTGTTTTTTACCTCCCAAATTCAAGGGTATTAGATTTGTTGCTACGCCTTGTCGCTAGGGGTCGCCATTACATCCAGATGGGCACCGTTTTAAACAAAAGTAGTGATGGCGAAACACGTACTGTTCTCCCCCAAGCCATCATCAAGCCAACGCAGAGCTGTAAACTATATGCTGCTAAACCTCAGTTGCGATTTAGGTGCGTGCGACTTGACCTGGGCATGGCTTCCAGCTGCCCGAAATGAGGTAAGGAGATTTAGAACGAGAAAAACAGTGATGAGCAAAGGACAGTAATTAACAGGGCTTGCTTGGCATTTTATCTCGTGGGAATTATGTCAGTAAAGTTGTCAAAAAGTCATCTTCCTGTGTTTTAGACCATGAAAACACACTGAGTAGGATATTGAACCTCTTAAGTGTCCTTTTAGTCGAGTCTATTGCGACAGAATTTTATACGGCGGAAACTACCGTGAACATGACCCTAATATACACAGCTGACCTCGGAACCATTAGGAACACATCAAAACTTCTTCAAGGAACAAGGCAACCCAAATATGGCCGAAAGTCTGTTTTTACAACAAAACAAAGAAACATTACCCTTACTTATATATATATCATTTAGCTCACAAACATATCCCTGTTGTGTGATACCATACGTGTGCCTTGACTGACATAAAACTTCATTCTCATCATAGGCAGGTCTCGTACCACTACTACTGAAGAGGTTACCTTCTATGTAAAACTATATGTGCATATATTTGCATATTAATGATGAGATAAGAGTAAACATGATTTCAGCCAAATGTCTATGAGAGAAAATCCACACCACATACTTGAAAGAAGAAAGGAAACATCAAAAGTTTAAACATGGAGACAGTTGACTCGCCAACCGTAATTGAATGTCAAGGTGCCTTTCACAAGCCCCTATATACCTCCTACTGCTACTTCCATTTACTATGGTCTCCTTCACCTTCTTTGCTCACATCACTATTCAGAGATGAAAAGAAACATCAAAACAATTCGCCGACCCATATTTGAATGCCAAGGTGACTTTCCCCTGCCCCTCCCTCCCAGTGGTTCTTCTATTATTGAGTTCTCCTTCACCTTGTTCGCTCATATCTTTATTCAGTGGAAGCGGATTGTAGCTACGCCTAAGTGGTGAGTCTGATAATATGATCGACTGAACAGTGGTACAAAGGTCGATGTCATTGGCATGAGCACGACAATGGCATGAGTTCGTTCTATAAAGTAAGGTAAATCATCCCTGCTCCTTTGCACATAAGTGTTGGAGGTGCCAAAATATGACGCGTTACGAGTGTTTAAAAGCTGGAGACACAACTGAATAAAAAAGTAGACTCAATTTTTCCTGTGTTCTTGGCTTGTCCTCGCGAACGAAGATCAGGAAGGGTTTTCCTGTGTTACAGTAGTAATAATTGTGCCAGCCAGGATGAGAATTGGTATTCACAAGGTTTACGGTCCGATTACAGGCCTCTCAGCACGTTTTCTCACAGCCCTCTGGTCCGGTACTTATGACCTCAGTACATCTTGGTCAGTCAAGCCCGATAACCCCGTCCGTCGAGCGAGACGCCAACGCCGTTACTTGCGTCAGCGACAGGTTACCTAACTCACCCGGGGCCGCAAAAAGCAATAACCTTTAACTGGTTTAAAAGAGTAATCGTATGTACTCTTACGTTCTGCACGTTTCTCGGCGTCTTTTAGACGCTGATTCTAATAGGACCATCACCCGGAAAGCCAGCCGACTGACACGGTTAAGAAGTTCACCCACTCTGCCAAGAAAACTTCTCCTTTGCTTTCGGCTACAATACGGACTAGTAAACAACTCTGTTATACTTTTTACTGCAATACATGGATACTACGTCCAGCCTGGATTAGCTGGTATATAATTTAGGCAACTACTCACAGAAATACCTGTCAGCTCAAATAACACCTGGTTTATGATAGGCACGGGCTCACTCAACAAAATTGTTACCAATAGCGTTTAATACACACTGGAAATCTATACTGGCACGGTTTATCATCTAGAGTAAACATTGCCAGACTTGTGTGGCACTGGTGAATCCGATTTGTCATGCATGTAGTGGCGGGCATGGTTATAGTTCAGAGGTCGTCTCGGTGCTTGGCGTTTGTATTGATTGAATATAAAAATGGTGCTGCTCAGTTTGACACGCAGAAGTTTACTAAGTTATCCTGGGTATATGAAGCTGTGTCAAATGTGAGAGAACATCCGCTGTACAGGATAGAGCTGTCATAGCTGATTGAATGCTGCTCAGTTTGACACGCCGAAGTTAAACCTAGTTAACTAAGTTATCCTCGGTACAGAGCTGTGCCAACTGCGAGTGAGAGAACATCTGCTGTACAGGATAGACCTGTCGTACACTGTAGAGCTGTCATACCTGATTGCTGTTCAGTTTGACATGTCGAGGTTCAATCCAGTTAACTAAGGTACGAAGCCGTGGCAACTCTGAGTCAGAAAACATCTATTGTACAGGACAGAGCTGTCATGCCTGATGATGCAGCAAGAAGGTCCGACATCGCAGGAGGCTGCCAGTGTAATTACATTGCTGTATTGGTACATATCAGAACAAAAGGAGACGTTATCTATTCAGAACAGGTTTCCACGAAGGAAATTTTTTTCTTTGTTTTTCTCACTATCTGTTGTCTATATGTTGCTCTACGCACTCGGTGACAACTGAATAAGTTTATCTACGGTCGTATATAGAGTAGAACGCGTAAATAAATGAACATCATGGATACCAATCAATACCATGCTACAGTTGTGAAATTAAGGGGGAATTAGCTTCTTAATTCTTTAATCCTCTCCCCAGTTCACACGACGTTATAATCCGCTCCTGTTTCCTCCCTCGGTAGTTGAGTCGTCCCCGATGCTTTTCCTAATCAATAGTGTGATGTACCTTTGATGGGCTGTTTAATGTAACGTCGCGGGGGAGGTCAGGGGAAACATATGCTGGGGTCTTGTTGCATCACGGTGTAATATTTGTTATAATTAATAGACAACGAGGCGAGGCCCGATTTATCTACATAAAGCATGCAATGACTGTTGTTTCTGGTTCTTTGTGGGGCGCTAATTATTAGTATCTTCACGTTCGCAATATCATGCATAAAATCGCACAAGAGGAGCATTTCAAACATGAAATTCTCGACCTATAACTCGGTTTAATTGAGTAAAAAGTTGTGTATATTGGTAAATACATTATGGAATTTTCTAAAGATGATAAATGCGGTAAGTGCGGAAATAGTTGTTTTAGGCGATCAATGTCGGCATATATTTCCTGTCCGTATCAATCGTTATTTGTGGAGTGAGCCCTGCATACCTAACTCCAAGTGTTCTTTTAGCTATTACTTGATTATGCAACAGGTACTGAAAGGGCAAAAATTTTTGTATATTTGATGTTCTTGAGGAAAATATCTAATAAGCACATTTGTGCTTGCTATCTGATGCTCACAAATCAATGTGAATAAAATAATATAATAATGGTTGCCTAGAATTTGCAAAAAGAAATCAACGACTATCAGAATGTCGCTTATTCCGCCATTAATTTTTGTAGTCCCCACTTTTCCTTCAGCGATCGAGTGGTAGTAGGAACGCTACACCAGCGAAGGACTTGGAAAATCAATACTTAGTCTGATTCTCTTTCTCACGGACAGGTCTACCAAATGTACAACGTGACCTCGTGACATTGCCACGTCTTGCCTTTGATGGATTCTTCATTTTAAAGTCATCTCGATTTACCTGTGTCGTCTTCAAGACCAATATGCATGTTTTCACACACAAAGGTCACTCCGGAACGTGACTTCAATCAAGACTGATACATTCCATCAGTTCTGTATCAGTCCCATGGTGCTGGGCATTGTTACTGTCAAAGGTGCCGTATCTGGTCATTACCATTCAGATGGAGGAGCCAATTTCATGGATGATGCGAAACTAGCGTGTGTTTCGACCGCCACATACCTCCACTGACAAATATGTCTCGCCACTTTCCATGTATACGCACGAAGAAGTGCCGTAATAAAAAACGAGATCATTGTTCTCTAAATCAAGACATCTAGCACGGGTAGTTAGCCAAAAACTTGTTGATCATATATATTCAGCTAAGAGATACTTCTAGGGCAAACGATTGACATTCCATCAGCGATCATAGTGATGAACGAGTGTCAGAATCAACCAATAGACATCATGGTGGAGTATTACTGCTGTACGCCACGGTATACCATTATCGATGGATTAAGGATGGTACCACATGATATTGCAATGATTGTATCGCAACATAATCATCCAAATACGGCTTTAAATTTAACCATAACCATAGTCTTCTAAATGTTATCTGCTCAACCGAGCATTTTAGGTATAAAGGAATATGAATCTCTTGACTCAATCAGGGATAACTAAATTTTGATGCCTTGTGTAATGAGTCAGAAAGAGCCGACAGACATTGCTTGGAATGTGGAACAGCACATCACAACTCAATGATAAGTTATCTTGTCGGACCGACTGCCTCGCAATACCGCAAGAATAGCTCAGGAAATGTCAAATCATCGGACCTTTCATACTTTCGGAAATTCAATCAACATAAAGGTCAGCTAGTTATATAACTTCCTCCCCAGCTAACTCCTTGCAACACGTCCTTGTAATATCAAACAATAAACAATTGGATACATGCGATAAGTTTCAGTCACAGTGGAAACCTTAGATAAATCAAAATTGAAATCAAGAGCGTTCCAACATCTAATGTTGCCACTGACATATTCTTTACGTATTTTGCCGCATACATATATTCTGTAAGTAGGACGGCTTTATCCATACATGTATTTAGCTGTATGTGTTCTATCTTAGTTGTAGTAGATTGTAGAAGTTTGAAACGTAACTAAAAGAAGAGGAAGACTTACTTTTGCGGTGCACGTATAGCTGGATGTGGTGGTGCTGCAGAGCTGGCCCCCAGTGCCTGACGGAAACTCTGCCGGAACTGTTCTCCAAGAAAACTGAGAAGTAGAAACGTAAAAAAAACTTATGTGTAAGGAAAGAAAGAAAGAAAGAATATTTCCAACGTGAAAACGTCTTACAAAGAGACAGCTGTAAGCAAAATACTGGTAGGTTTTGTTAAGGGCGTCTACAATCTGGCAGATCAGAATCTTTTTTTTTCTGTTCATGGCAAATAGTTTTCAAACATCTATGTCTAAACATTTTTGACAGATACTAAATATTCTAGAACAACGGTGCGTAAAGAATGGATGTTATACAGTGAGGGTACTGACCTGTAGAGAATGGGGTTGATGACGCTGTTGGTGAAAGACAAGGCGTTGAAGGTGAGGGCCAGCAGCATCCATGTCCGGGACGTCTCCGGCAGCACGCTCAGGCGGACGATGTGGAACACGTGGTACGGCAGCCAGCAGAGCACGAACGCCGCCACCAGGATGAGGACCAGTCGGGTCAGCTTCCTGTGCCTGTGGACGCGCGCGGCGTGGCCGGGGGTGACATGCTGCAGTCCCGCTACCTGCCCGCCGCCGTCCGCGTGGTCTGGAGTGGACAGGGCGTCCGACCTGCTGATACTGCAGATGATCAGACTGTAGCATGTGATGATGATGACCAGGGGGACGACAAACCCCACGATGAAAGAGTACGCCACGCTGACGCGATGCCACAAGTTTGGGTCCTCAGCCGTGGCCGGCAAGTCTAGAATACAATGGGACGAACCCCCGCTGTAGTCCAGCACCCTGGCGTACCAGATGTGCGGAATGCACGTGCAGATAGCCAGAGACCAGAGTAGGAAGAGAATGGTGGCGGTCTTCTTGTGGTCCGCCACACGGAGAGACTTCAGCGGGTAGGCCATGGCGTGGTACCGGTCAACACTGAGGGCGGCCAGGGACAGGAAACTGGCGAAGGCTCCGGCATTGACTGTGCCGACGACAAACTTGCACACATTCTGTGAAAACATCCACTCACCCGCGATCAGATCTATGATCATGAACGGGAGAATACTGAGAAGAAGAATGTCCGACACGGCCAGGTTAATCACCAGAACGTCAGCCATCTTCGGCACTCTCTTCCTCCCGCTGACTTTGAGGATGACGAAGATGACGACCACGTTTCCTACCAGTCCCACGACAAAAAGCACCACGTAGAAGGCAGATAAAACCAGGGTGCCGACCCCCAGATATTCCCTAACTCCCTCCCTAACTGCCATGGTATCGTTTGTCCAACTACCATTCCAAGATAAAGACATGTTCAACGGAAAACTCATATCCACTCCCTCAGCCATCTTTGGAGCTTCTCAAGCAGCGGCCTTCAATAAAGAATGATACCAACTCCTCAATTTTGTCTCTGATTTGCTCCATGTGTCTGCAATCAAATGGAAACATAATAACTGTGCTGTATTTCACCGGGGGCTAATGGTTAATTTAGCAGAACCTGATGGAAATCAGTCCGACAAAGTAACAGGGTGCTTTCATGCTCTCGCGACTCCACTACTTGGTAATTGCCTCATTAACATTCAGAGCTTTGCTGACAAAGCTAACAGGCCCTGGGTGCCTGAGGATATTCTGTCGGCCCAACAAATCTAAAGCCGGCTTGTCCTGTCTTTTTCTATCTGCAGGCGCCGGCTCTTTTATTAAATTTATCTCTTTCGCCGACGATGCAAAATTGAAACTTGATGCCGTTCTGGTTCTCCGGCTAGATTGTGGGCATGAGTTGAAATCGCGTATCTTATATCACCCTAGAGTTCCTAGTATGCAGGTGTAAAGAATAACCTGTACGTTCCATAATATTTTTTTCTTCTTCTTTCTTCTTCTCACTCGCCTGTATTGTGTATCTAGGCAACGACTAGGATTGTGCTAGCAATGCGATAGCAGGGACAGATTATTCATTTTACACACTGTCTTCGATTGCTTATAATTAAGTTAATACTGGAGTTATGTTTCCTTGACGACTTAAAGGTACAATTTCAACAGTGGGTGGGCGTAATAAACTGTGACACCTCAATCAACCGTATTTCTACTTCTAGAACAAATGAAGCTAACACAAATAGTCAACAGACATTGGAGCCTCAGAGTTAATTACATTGATGTAAATAAGACATAACAGTTGGTTTTATCACCACATCAATGCCCGTTCTCACATCACTGATGTTCAAAGTGCTGATATCTTCAAATCTCAGATGTCTACGGTTAGGCAGTCCCTGGATTTAGTTTGGTAAACTTAGTTCGTATACATTATGATACCCATGGTTTCCCTTGAGTACTTTGTATTATTTCTATATAAAGTCCTCTAATATTTGCCTTATTTTGTGATTTAAGAAACCTTAGCTATATTGTGTGTACCCTGGCAACGATTAGAATTGCGTCAGCATGCCATTTAGATATTGCTTATGATTAGGATAATACTGGCTTTACAGGTAGAGTTGATTACATCGATGTGAATATGACATTACAGTTTTTATTTCATCATATCAATGATGCCCGTTCACACATGACTGATTTTCAAAGAGAGCAATAACATGAAAATGA